TTCGCATCCGCCATGTTGAATCGATCTAGTTTCCAAGATATATGCTCTCTGGCTTAGACTTATCTTGTTTTCCTTGAGTGAAAATTCCATCCCCTAGGCAATGATTAACTGATCCCAGATCTTTCATTTCAAATCTTTCAGATATTTGGCTTTTAGGGACGATATTGCCTTTTTGTCACGTGGCGATAATCAGATCGTCTACATAAGTGACAATTATCATAATGTCTTTCCCTGTTTTACTGGTGAATACACATGGGTCGGACTTAGTTGGATTTGCACCGCATTCACTAAGTGCTGGCTTAGTTTCTGATACCAGCTCCGACCGGCTTGCTTCAGGCCGTATAGTGACTTCCTAAGTAGACATACTTTATCACCTTTTCCCAGTGTGTTCAAGGTATCTCGATCGAGCCTTCTTTCTGGTAGCCTCGTTGTATTTGGAGTTATCACAAATAATCTTCAATGATTCATCCAAATATTCGGGGGTTTCCATGTAAATCGTCTCATCTAGACTTCCATTAAGTATGCGCAGGTAACATCCATTGCTGCATGTCCATATTTAAATGTGCTGCTAGGGCAGATACAAGTCTTATGGAGCTAAGCCTTGCTACAGGGGCAAAGTCTCGTTGAAATGTGTTCCGGCTTTTGCTAAATCCCCGAGCGACTAGTCTTGCCTTCCTCCTTTCGATAGTTCCATCAGGCTTGTACTTGTTTTCAGGACAATACGGCTTCCAACGATGTGCTGGTACATGGTCGGTCGATTAATTCCCAAGTACCATTCTTCAAGATAGATGCCACTCGTCTGCCATCGCCTTGTGCCATTCGTCAGCTCCTCGCCTCTGACTGCTGATGCATCGGGACCTCGGACAGTAATACCTCTTCAGAAGAGAGTGCTGAACCTCTCGGGGGTGTCCTGTACCTGTATATCTTTCCTAGGTCTTCCCCTCGAACCAGTTCGCCGAATTCTGGGTCTCCCGCGGGCACGCCTGGGTGGCTCAGAATCGTGATCAACCTCGGGCTCTTCTTGTTCCGTTGTAGGAGATTCATGTTCTGGATTTTCGTTCTCGACAACTGGGGATAGCTGTACCTCGATAGTATGCATCTCAGATTCATTCTCCTTGGATGATCCTTCCAGAATAAAATCTGTCCATTCTTGGCATGTGACTTCTGCGTTTTCCAAGAACTTAACATCCCTCGTGATTACGAATTTATTCTCCTTCGGCAACCAGATCTTGTATCCTTTCGTTTGTTCCGAATACCCGATGAAAATTCCTTCCTTACTCTTGCGTCTAGCTTCCTTGGCCTGATCTTGGTTTAGACAGAAGACCTTGCAACCAAATCTCTGAGATGCGAAACGTCGGGAGTCTTTCCAGTCCACTTTTCGTATGGTGTTAACCCGTTCAGACTTTTGGATGGACATCTGTTCCGCAAATAGTTTGGCCGTGTTGATGGCTTCAGCCCAAAGATCGGAGGTAAGCCGGACTGCATGATTAGACAACGTGCTGTATCCAAGAGAGTGCGGTTCTTCCTCTCCGCTATACCGTTCTGTTCCGGAGTGTAGGGCAAGTCAAGCGACGTGAAATTCCGTGCTTTTTCAGGAGATCCTCCATTTCCTTACATGTGTACTCCGTCCCGTTGTCAGATTGGATGCACTTATCTTTTTGTTCTTTTGGTTTTCGACCAGTGTAATATTTTCCTGAGTCTTTCGCACAACTTCATTTTATGTTTCATGAAGAATACCGTGCAATACCTAGAATAATCATCTATGAATTCGACAAAATATTTGTACTTCGAGTGAGATTCTACTCGCATGGGACCGCAAACATCAGTATGTACGATTTCTAGCATTTCCGATTCCCCGTCGGACTTCTTCGGGAATGTGAACGCGTCATTTTCCGCGTATGCAAATTTCGCAATTAAGTTCCCCATTATTAGGCATATTTTCAATATTATTTCCACCTAATCTTCCTTTCTTCAATGAAGAATTCAAATCCTGAAGTCAAATGTCCTAATCTACGATGCCATAGTTGCATTTTAGAATTCATG